AGAGTTGGAACCCTCAGCGGGGATTAGCGATGTTCAGTCGTCGACTGAATCAGTGCAGAGAAGACCCCGTGAGATCGCCATCACACCCCATGTCCGAAGAAAAGGAAGAAAAGACGAAGAGGTCCAATCAAGCAGTCGAAGGCTCTAAAAGAGACACCCTGAACAGGACGAAGGACCCAGCGAGTGGGAGGAGGAGGATCGAATACCCCTTTCCCAGCTTAGGGAAAGGATAAGGAACAGGAGAAGTTTAGACATAGAGTCGAGAGGTATTGAAGACATTCAAGGCGAAGACTCTAAACAGAAAGAAGAATCAGGGGATGAAGAAGAGGACAAAAAACCTCCTGGACGGGAGTTAAACACAGAAGGAAGGGTGGAGGTTGAGCAGGAATCACCTCGGAAGATGAGATCAGGGAGGGAGAAGAACCCCAAATCTCAGTAGAACAAAAGGGCTGTGCAGAATAGAAGCATTTAGTGTCGACAGATAACGACACTGTCTCATCCAAGATCCTATCGGCTGACTATGGTAGATGTGAGTGGAGGGGATGGAGATGCGGGCTGCACCTCACGAGGAACGGAAGATCATTGGCATTATTGATTGGCCACCAGTGGTGTCATGAAGTACGACCTTTAGAGTGGGCGCCACGCACACCTGACCAGACCATTCTGTCTGCTAGGGGTTAGTTAGAGGAGGGAGGAGCCGAACTAAGAGAAAAGTTATGAAATGATTGAGTGATGAGTCGAGCGAGACTAAGTGGTTGTGAAGAATAACAGCAAGAGAATTTGTTACCTTTCAGGAATGATAGCAAGGTACAAGGTGGAAGCAGACTACATAGCATTAAATTCGGGGAGAACGAAATTTATGTTGCTATCAGCTGAAGAAGCTAGAAGGTGTAGAGATGATACCCTGGGGACTTGTACCTCGTTGAGCCCTATCTATAAAACTGGTAACCGCAGACTGTGCATACTAGAATTGTTTGAAGGGAGGGGGGAAGGAATCAAAAGAATCTGCCGAGTAGAGGTATTAACAAACTCGGCATTACCACAAGCTATCAGTGTTTCAGATGGGGTGTGGGCAGTAGCCACACAGAAACATATCAGCCTGTCTAGGGTATGTGGGGGAGAGTCCACAAGGACATTAAGAATAAGGCCACCGTTATCCCTGGTGACGCTACCCATGGGATGTTCGGCGGTTGGGGTGTCCATCTCCTTGCCCCCCTATTACCAGATGGAAGAAAGGTATGAAGAAAAAGATTCACTCATAGAGATGATTGGTAGAGGCTTAGTCAATTGTACAGAATTATGGGAGCCGATAGTGAAGAGATTCTCTAATGTCACCTTAAATAAGATGCCAGTATTAATGAAGCCAATAGAAAAGATCGATATGGATCACTTAAGGGATAAGTTAAGTGCGTTGGGAGACGAAGGTGTAGCTTGGGAAGACGATGAGCAGATCGCGATAAGTTGGTCAATAGTGATGGGTACATTCCTAGTTATAGCCATCGGGGGTGTAATAATATGGAAGATTAAGAGTAAGAGAAGATTGGCGAACGACAGTCTAGTGAGCATGCAGCAACTCGAGAGGGAGATGCCGAGCAGTGTTCTTTACTCAGACAGGACTGGCGAAGAAATTGCTGAAAGACCAATGGAGGAGGCTGGCGTGAGACCACCACGTGCGGCGGAAAAACCTCCCACGGCAGAGAGGAAAACATTGACCAAGAAGAACAAACCCTGGTGAACACATCTGCACCTACAAACACACGCACACATTACCTTGCATGTAAAACAAAAAAAAAAAAAAAAAAAAAACATTTCATTGCATGTAGAACAGAAGAAAATGAAAAGAACATTTCGTTGCATGTAGAACAGAAGAAAATGAAAAAAACATTACATTGCATGTAGAACAAAAAAAATGAAAAGAACATTTCGTTGCATGTAGAACAGAAGAAAATGAAAAGAACATTTCATTGCATGTAGAACAAAAAGAAAATGAAAAGAACATTTCATTGCATGTAGAACAAAAAGAAAATGAAAAGAACATTTCATTGCATGTAGAACAAAAAGAAAATGGAAAGAACATTACCCTTGCATGTTAGAAAGTAGAATAGAATTGCATGAGACAAATGCATGGTGCATGTTAAATGATGTACTTGGGTTTAGGTGTCATTTACGGGTAAATGACAAATCGGTTGGGGGAGGATTGTGGCACCTTGCATTATTAGAAATATTCATAGAAATATGATTTAATTTTTTTTACTCGGTTTACTAAACAGGTTGTTGATTTTTTTTAACGGAAAATAGTTGAGTTGAGAGTTGCAGCTGGACCGCGGGCAGGGATAGAGCCTGAACGCGGGCATCAGGCCCGATTCACTCGCCCCTTTGCGGGCAAGAGAATCCTCAGACAAGAAATCCTTCCAGCCCAAGTCGAAGACAGAAGTTCAGCCCCGGACGGCAGCGAGAAGAGATCACCTCGGACGACAGAGAGTTGCGGCTGAGTTGCGGCAAGAGATCCTTCCAGCCCAAGTCGAAGACAAGAGAACTTCCAGCCTAAGTCGACGAAGAAAAAAGAAATACAACTCAAGTCGAAGAGAAGAATCAACTGCGAATGATCGATAGAAATTAGCCCCAGTGTCGAACCAAACCACACTCCGACATACACAATTCTAAAGAGTAGGCAATTCGAAATCTTTAGGTTGTGTGATAGAAACTTGGTGCCATAGTCCACAGAGCGGGTCGGGAATTGAGAACAATTTTGTTTTTATGTAACGGACATTAAGATATAAAAGGTTGTTACCCTTTTTTTTTTTTCATCAGCAATCTTTTTTGTCTCGTGAGTTTATTTTCTCTTTTAATTGTGTTTTGCCACCCCGTCGGACTCAACTTGTATCGGCCCCAATCCTCCTGCTGGTCCTGTCTGTCTAAGATCTAAACACAGCGTGGGTAGACAGACCGGAGATCGGTACAGTTGCTTTAGTGACCAGGTATTGGAAGCGAGTTGGGAAAGGCGAGGGTGGTGATCATCCAACCAAGGGGTGGAGCGGCACGCTTGGAACCAGGAGGAGCGACCAGGAGGAGCGACGTCACAGTTGGCGCCGTAACCAAGGGATTCGACCCTGGGCCAGGTGTGTAACCGTCACACTGTTTACTCCATATAATTATTTATGTTACAGTAGGCTTATAAATCTAGAACGGTGGTTTTCTAAGCGTAGCTTAGATGTGGCACTAAGCCTAAAGTATAGGGAACCCGGTGAGGATCTTAAAAATCTATAAAGTATTTAAAATCAAAATATAATGAAAACATTATTTAATTATTCCACCTTTTAAGCGTAAAATAAAATCAAAACTTAACAGCGTGAAAAAGGCCTGAAGCAATAATAACGCTTGCTTTCGTATCAGAATGAAAGAAATCCTTGTACGATTTCAATTTAGCTTTGGATGACATCTGAGTACGTGTCTGCTAAAAATTATGATCGCTTGACTTTACTTGTGTTGTCAAAAGGCTTTGTATTCAAAACAGCAAATTTTGAAAACACATTTTTCAAATGCCCCACTCTTCTACCAAGGCTATTTATAATAAAAACTAAAAACACTAGACAGGGTTCAAAGAAAATTAGTAAATTTAATGATTGATTGAATATTTCAAAAGAATTACCACGTTACAAGTGAGTCAGAATGCCCATACCACAACTATAGAATAACCCTACCCAAACATACTAAAAGTGAAAAGCCTTAACCTTCCCCAACTTGGTTAGAGTGAAACGTATGGATTTCAGTAAATGGCGAAATTATATTTATTTTTCTTTAAAGAAAAATAATAATAGTGATTCAGAAAATAAAATTCTGATTGACTTATTGTTGCGGCCTTGTTATGGCCAGAAATAAAGACACAAGAGACACAATTGAGTTAAACAAATATATATATACAGAAACAGTAATACAAACATATACAAACGAGAGTGTTACAGCAAGAATGTTCGATCCGACTGTCAGAGCTGATTGCTGAAAACTTCCATCTCCAAAAGGCAGTACCTTCTCCTATTTATAGCTGGGGGAGTCCATATATGCGTGGGTAAATTACCATAACACTTATCAAATCGATTGGTGATTTTTTTTCTAAAATTCGTTATAGTGGTATTCAAGTTTTAGATTTAAAAAAAAATTTCAAATTTAAACGTGTGATTAGAATATGAGGTAAGGTAAACAATTCATCCTTAAGCAAGAATAATGAGGAAGTGCGTTGGTATTATATTCTATTTTTCAGATGCCTAAAATATCTTAAGCTTTGAAAATATATGTTTAGTATGTAAATCACTTCAGATGATAGACTTTGCATTCATTATGACGTCAGAGAAGTCAGATTGACCTGAGAGGTAACCTCCTAGCCGTCGATTACAGACGCTGCAACTGTGATGCATGCGTGAGAAAGAATCATATGGCAGATATATAAACACCCACCCCAGCGGTAAGAGAGAGACTGGTACATCACACACGTGGATGTAAGGTCCACGTTCGGATGACAGCCTGGGCTGTACACACACAGACTGACCGATTGTAAGTTCGGAGTAAAAAAAAAGTAATATTACGCATGTGAGATTTACGTTTGGTATTTTCATTTGTAATCTACGACGATACTTGATGCCATATGTTTGAAATATGAGATAAGATAAAAAGAGAAGTATTTTTAAATTTCTGGATGCCTTTTAAGATATCACATTAAGCTTTACATATTTATGTTAAGCGTAAAAACTGTGGTCAATATGAGAACAGAGTGTTATAGAATGCGTAGGCTTGACAAAAAAAAAAATGGCAAACACAGAACTTTGACGAACTGAGTGGGAGTGGTTTGAACCCCGTGGGCGTGGAAACCTGTCAGTGATAGATTGTCTTTGTTTAAGTTTTAATATAAGACTGTAAAACTCAAGAAAACGGTCAGTATTGTTGCAGAAGTGGGGGAGTCAAGATGGCTTCCTCTTTCAGATACCTTGGCGTATAGTGGTTTCAACATAGAGAGAGGAAGAGAGAGAGAGAGAGAGATAGAGAGAGAGAGAGAGAGAAAGAGAGAAAGAAAGAGAGAAATAAAGAGAGAGAGAGAGAGAGAGAGAGAGAGAGAGAGAGAGAGAGAGTCCCTGCCACGCAGAGATGATAAGTACCTGTACGACATGTTGACAACCGTTCTCTCTCTCTTTCTCTTTCTCTTTCTTTCCCGTATTCCTCAAGAAATGACGTCTACTACCGTGTCCTTCTACCGAAATAAAGCGACTGAAAAGAAACCTGAAGGAAATTGTCAGACATTGATTCAGTCTGTGATGCAGCGTTGGGATTATTTCCGAGGAATTACCCATAGACAATCAGATTCCAGAGACGAAACGAAAAGAAATGAGATAAAAAAAAAAAAATGATACAGCATGTTATTTTTTTTTTATTAGTTATTCCATGTAAAAAAAAGAAAAGAAAAGAAATATCACGGATATATTTGAATTTATATGCGATGATAGTGCGTTGGGATCCCATCTGAGGAATTACCAATCCGCGAAAATCCAGAGATGACACGGAATGCAACAATATATAAAAAATGATAGTGTGATATTTTGTTTAATTAGTTATGTTTAATTAGTTATAAAATCACGGATATATTTAAATTTATATGAAATGGAGCAGCTTTAGAGTCCCTTTTGAGGAAGTACTGATAGACCATTAAGATTCAGAGAAGACACGTAATGCAATACGATAAAAATTGATACAATGTGATATTAATTTTGAATTAGTTAATTCCTGCAAAAAAGTCACAAATATATTTTAATTTATATGATATGATGCAGCGTTGGTGTTCCTTCTGAGGAATTGCCGAGAGATCACTAGAATCTGGAGACGACACGCAAAGCAACAAAAATAAAATCTTTGATACAGTGTGATATTATTTTTAAATTAGTTATTCCCGAAAAAAAAGTATATTTATATTTTTATGAGATGATTTTTATTTTAGGAAAAAGTAAGACAAAAAAAAAAAAACTTGGAATACAAAAACTTTACAATTTCCTCATTTATCTTATTTCATTTCTATCTTTATTTCTTTCCGGCGTGTGTCTTTAGTCATTCCTATAAAATGAAGCTATTCTTTAGGGCTATTTGCCAACCGGATAACACTATACTGTCTACCATCTCCAAAATTATGTCTAGCAACTAAATTTTCGGAGAAATGCCAGAAAGTTTTTTTTTTGATATTTCAAAGGTTGGAAAAATAAGTGCAAATACTGTTTTCTATTTTGGTCACTCCTTCAGTCAATGGTAATAACATGTCTACCGCATTCTAATTTTAAAACTCACGAATCCTTTATTACAAATATGACCTGGTCACTAAACTCATAGAACCACTGAACAGTGGACGGCAAGGTAGAGATCAAGATTTAAATCGCTAAACAAAGCCCGCGAAGTGGAGGGGAGATGAAGACAAGACTCAGAAGATTGCCTTACACCATTTATCTTCCATACCATGTGTTAAAAAACAGTTACCCTCCTTACTATCATAAATAGACTGACCCATTCATGATAAGTAGTCCTGGGTAATTTTATCTCATACTAACTTTTTATATGAAATCCAACATACTTTTAGCTGTTATCAGAAGCTGATTTAATGAATTCATCACGAGAAAGGCTATAATGCCACTAAGACGCAAATGGCTACCAGGAATGAAAGAACTTTAGAAGAAACTGGAAACACCGTCCTAAGCAGTAAACAACAGATAAACCGCTACTCCTGTTCAAAGGATCGGAGAGGCGTTGAGCCGCACGATAGGCGAACTTATATACTCCTATTGAAAAGAAAAAAATATTAAATAAAATTTAAGAGATCAGGCGGTGACGTTAGAAGTATAGAGCTGAAGTAGACTTTAGAAGGAACGGGGAACCCAATCCAAAACAGGGAACAAGGGATAAACTTGTACTCCTGTTCAAAATACCGGGGTGGAGCGTAAACCTGGCGATAGACACACCTCTCTACTCCTATAATATGACATCGTATCAAATTTCGGATAGATGCTTATCGAGCAAAAAGAGGTAAACATTTCATTTGTATTCCTTATCGCATCTTTAGAATCTTCTTTTATGCGACGTGGGCGCTCATGGCTCTCCGCATCTTCCTAACCTTTGTAATTCTTTGCAAAGTTTTTCCTACCTTTCCCACTTCCTGTTCTGCCATACATTTACACACGCTTGTTAAGTTACTCACTATTTCTCTCTGCCTCTCTTGCCTTCAATATATTATGGGAGTGTCAAATTCTTATTTGTTTGAATTTCAAACCGAATCCAGAGTAGTCAGTCTGTATGTTGGCGTTTCTGAAGATTGGTTCGATGACGTTTGTGCAGTTGTTCTCCCCATGTTTAATTCCTGAAAATGGATTGACATATAACCTTCACATTCCTGGACCGCTCAGTAGTGTCACCGAGGATCTGTTTCATTTCCTCCACCCAAATATTCAAGCAAATATCACCTGATGAAGGCCGGAGCGTGCAATGTCCGAAACGTTGTGAATACGAACAATGTAAATAGTGTCAATAATTACAATACATCTCAGAAATATAGACAGGTGTCAAATGAGTAAAATGCAAAATAATTATGAATAACATTCAACGCCCTGTTTAATTTAAAAGAAAAAAAGATTATTCCGCATGAAAAATATGAACATATTTAATTGTGAAATTAAAAAGAAAAGAAACATTTTATGTTATCCGTGATAGGAAATAAATCAATAATAGCATCGTCTTCTAATACATGCTTTATAAATTAAGCATTTGTAACGTCCAAGGAAAGCTAGGAGTAAATGTTTTTTAAAATATTTACGTAGCTACGTCATTAAATATGTAGCGTAATGATGACAAAAACATTTATTTACACAAATACTTATGAAAAATTTCTCAGCGTAGAAAAAGACAATATTTATAAATGTAAAAGACAATAGGAAAACAGTAGTAGTCGCCGACGCGTTTCGTCCAATGTGGACTTTTTCAAGGCAAAAACGAAATGAATTTATTAAACAAAGTAACTAATAATAACAAAACAAAATGTCCTTAGCAACTGGAAGAATTTAGAGAACGCTATTTTCATACTGTTAACTTATCTTTAACATACTAATTTCTCTTGTCAATGCAGTTCATACAATGGGGAATAATCAAAGAAACCGAACATTATACAATGACAATGTCTTTTAGATAAAAGTTAAAACTATCAATCAAGTTTCAGGATACGGAATTATTGATCTATTCAAATATTAATAATGTTTAAGATAGGGCGGACGAAAAAGCAATTTTTCTTATTCTCTAATATATCATCTGCTTCTTGATTAATTAAATGCTGATTAATTGATACCCACTTTGTTGGTTCTGAGAGATAATTAACATTTTTGTACTTCTTCATTAATGAAATACTTATTGTTTAATTTGGAATCCTCTCTTTATTCTTTCTGATAGGTAATTAATATACCGTTTTCTTGGTTAATTAAATACTTATTATAATTAAATACTTTGTTCTTTCTGATAATTAATATAGTGAACATTTCTTGCTCCTGGAAATCATGTTGAACACGAAAAGAAAGGAACAAAAAAAGAAAGAGGAAGGAAAATGAGCACCACGAAACTTCCATGGTTAACATTTAATCTTTCACATAAATGGCATCTTAATATCTGCTTTCTTGCATTAGAAGGAAGTTTGGTTTGGAAAATCCATCATTGCAGCTTTTCTTTCACAACACTCCACGGCGCAAAATCGGTTTCAATAACATATTATGCTTTATTAATGAATATCATGCTATGAGAGAAACAATGGATATATTTTTCCATCTCCTTTTACAAAATTAAACGAAGGAAGAGGGATAATAAATATTACTACAGCCACGCTAATTATTGCTAATAAAATACTGGCCCAAATAAAATATATTTGTGGGATATATACATCTGTGTAATTGTGCGTTAGTTTGAATGCTTTCCTATTTCTTTCTGTGAGAAGAGTCTTTGGTGCGCGCATGCGCAATATGTTTTCTTTGTCCTGAGCTATGACTATTATCCGGAGAGGAGTGTGTTTAATTATTCATGACAAATCAGTTTTTCATTAAATAGAGAAGGACGACTTCAATGTTGTCGTAAACATTTAATGGCTTTAAAGATGCTGAAACGAATCAGCTGTAAACGCTCGCCTAGTTTATATGAACTACTGTTTGATTTGTATTTTAATATAATTGCCAAGCTTAAAGAAAAAAACAAAACATGGCGCCCATTTGAATATTATAAAGGTCGTAGCTATTCAATGATTTCAAGCAATTTTCTCTGTTTTTTACATAGCATTAAAATGAGTGCGTGCAAAATTTCTTTAATTTTTTTATTCTTAATTTAATCAATTCGTGCTTTTTGTAGTTTTATTGTCAAGATATTAGAATAAAACGTGCTCAGATTTTCATAGATGCTGTTAAATCTATTGGTAAGTCCCTAACCACAAAATGCATAACTTAGATATTAAAAATTCATACACAGAAATTTGTAATGATCCTTTTTAAAAGTATGTATTATCACATTTTTGACGGGTAGCCATTTTACTGAAATGAGTTTAATTTACCAAGACTTTAACAAATCGTAAAACAATATTGAATTCTTTTTTCTATTTATCTTTTTAATAACCACGTAAACATATTATTCTCTAAAGAGTTTGAATTACTTAATTTGGAGCGGCGGCAGTCATACAATAAGTATTTTGACAGTGCAGAATAAACGATTATTTGGAGAATTGGCAACCAATCGATAAATGATTACGTCAGATGAGGTAGCACGTGGCCACATCAAGATTATCGAGGAACTGTATAAAAAATAGCAAGACCGTGACTGCATGTTCATTAATAGATATATTTATAAGCAAAAATGCCGCTGTTGATGTTAACGCATCATTTATGCGATATCAGTAATTACCTTTCCTAGCCAAATTCTTTCAAGGATAATGGAGTCCTATACCAATTTAGCAACATGAAATTAATCTAAGAGAAGAAATCACCAGTACCAATACGACTTGTAGAATTTTCATAGTACATCTTGACTATTTATATATAGAGTATGAGTGGATTCATATAACTGTATAGCATACACACATGGAAACATATAGAAACACACTTAAAGAAGAAAGAAAATAATGAGAGGTAAATGTATACCTTAAAGTAAGAGCTTATACATCCACAAATGATGAAAAAATACCATTATTATAGCTTTGCAAAAGGGACATATTAAAAAGATGCATATTGATATATAAAACATGGAGAGAAAAATCAAGGAGAAATATTAACCGTATAATAATAATAATAATAATAATAATAATAATAATAATAATAATAATAATAAATTGAACTAACCCGAATTGCAGGATCTGCAGAAAATCTGATGAAACGATTGACCATATTATCTCAGGACGTCCGGAACTATCAAAAAATGATTATACCCACAGACATAAAAAGGTAGTGACACATGTGCACTGGAAGATATGCAAGAAGCACAAAATCGAAACCACTGAGAGATGGTATGAGCACCAACCAGACACTGTTACCCCAAATCCTCTGGGAGATGCTAATTCAAACTGACAGGGAAATAAAAGCCAACAGACCTGATATTATCATAAAAGACAAGAAATTCAGGAAGTGTATGCCTATTAACATAGCAGTACCATCTGAGAAAAATACCTTCATGAAAAATTATCGAGAACTTGTCCAAATACAAGGACCTTGAGATCGTGATTAACAAGATGTGGGGAATGAAGACTGAGACTGTATTAATAGTAATCTGAGTTCTGGGCCTCGTGAGAAAAGGAACGGACACTTTTACTAACAATGTCCCAGGCAACATCAACATACAAGTTGCCAAGCAGATCACCCTACTAGGAACATTCCATATACTAAGAAAAGCGTTTTCAATTAAATAACAATTCTCCTATATAGCCTGAAGACCATAGTTTGAACTCGGCTCTACAGGATACAAAGCAGGAAACATAACATACACAAATAATAATAATAATAATAATAATAATAATAATAATAATAATTCCAACTAATGTCTACAGTTTTAACGCTTTGAGCCCTGACCACCGCTTTACCGGTGGTAGAGAAAAATGACGTAATGCCCAGCCTCCGGTTGAACGGTGGGTAAACACTAACTATTTTTATATTTATCGTGAAATATTACATACTAATTATTTTCGAATTTTGACTCAGGATCTCAGGCAGAAGGGTTCAAATTATTCAAGAACGCAGAGCTGGAAGTGTTAAAATAAGATGGCTCAAATCTCGTCCTTCGCTTATGCTATAAATTTAATGAAACTGTTGACCACATAGTATCAAGGTTCCCAGTCCTTACTGAGAAAGAATACATTATTAGACGTGACAAGCTAGGATAATATACTCATTGGTATGTCAATTCAAACAATGGTACTGAAGTTTCAGATGCATTGTAAGAAAACCACCTGAATGATATCACAATTTGTGATGAAGTGACTATACTGTAGAATCTTTCTCTATTCTCACTGAAAGGAAAATTGATACAAATAGACCAGACATAATCATAAAAGACTTCAAAAACGGAACCTACCAATTAATTGATTGTTGTGGTAGGATCCACCTAATTTGCATAGTGGAGTACCGACCATATAAATATGGTTGGTACCGGGAAGAGAGGGAGGAATCAAGAGATTCAACCAGAGACTCTGTCCGACTGCGACTCAGTCAACACATTCTCCAGGAACGGTCTTACCAGGAATATACAAAAGACTATATGTAAATATTGTGTACACTTTCTTGTTTCAATACATTTTGTTCTAAGTACATTTTGTGTTGCATTATTATTCCATGCATTAGTCAAGTTTCAACATTGATATACCTTGCCGAGAGGATTCCAATGTTTCTAATAAAGAATTCCAAAGAGCTATCAAATTAAAATAACAAAATGTGAAAAGTAAAATTATCCTCGTTGTGATAGGAGTACTGGGTATGATAAAGAAGGTTACCGAAAATAATGCCAGTAAAATTGATGGACATATCAGCAT